AGGCCAGAGATGTGAGTGCAATGGTAACTTCAGCAGAAAATCTCCTTTGTAACCAGTGAATGAAATACTCTATGGCCAGTTGCATTGTGTTCATAATTAATTTTCCAAAACTAAGACTGTTATCTTGCCAGGCATGTTGGCACATGCCTGTAATCCCAGCACTCAGAGGTGGAGAGAGAAAGATTAGGAGTTCAAAGCTACATAGCAAGACACCATATCAAGACAAAAAGTGATCCAAAGACTTCTCAGGCCGGAGGTACTATTTTTCAGGTTGCACCTGTAAATTCACTAGAATAATTGCTGTGTTTACAGCAAGACTTTTCCAGTATAGAGTTGTTTTCTAAGAATACATTTATTTATTCACTCAGCAAATCTGTTAGTCCTTATTGCTATGACAAATACCTGAGATACACAACCTGAGGCTGAGGGAGGAACAAGTTATTTGGCTTGGGGCTTCAGGGGTTTTCTCCATTGCTGTGGGCCTGAGGAGAGACAGCACATCCCAGACTTTAAGCACGTTCCACGATAAATTCAAGAGACACTAGAAAGGTGAATACCTCCAGTACTGTGTCTCTTGATTTTACACTCAGCTTAGTCTGCCCTTCCCTAAAGCTGACCAGCTTTAGCGGCTTATTATAGCATTAAGAAGAAGCTTCAGAGGGCTGGAGAGATGGCTCAGAGGTTAAAAATACTGGTTGTTCTTGCAGAAGACCCAGGTTCGAATCCCAGCACCCACACGACAACTAAAAACTATCCTAACTCCAGTTCCAGGGGATCCGACAGCCTCTTCTGTCCTCCGAGGGCATTGCACAACATGGGTGCGCTTACCTACACCCAAGCAATACACACATACACATAAAATAAAAATAATAAATAAAAAAAATTAAAAAGGAAAAAAAGAAGCAGCTTCAGGACCACTAAGATGGCTCAGCAGGTAGAGGAGCTGGTATGCAGTCCTGAGTCACATCCTCAGATCCCACAAAGTGAAGAAGCAAACTCCCAAGAGTCATCCTCTGACCCCCCACATATGTGCCATGGCACTCATGGACCTACACTTACATATCTGTGTTCATACACACATAAACACACACAAATAAATGAATAAATTTATTGCATTTTAAAAAAAAATTTTTTTTTAAAGCCAGGCATGGTAGTACACACCTTTAATCTTAACACTTGAGAGGCAGTAGTAGACAGATCTCTGTGACTGTGAGGCCGGCCTGGTCTGCATACAGAGCTGTAGGCTAATCAAGGATACGCAGTGAGACCCTATTTCAAGAAATGAATAAATGAATGAATGAATGAATAAAATATAAATAAATAATAGAAGTTCCAGAACAAGAAATACAAAAGATCAGTAAACTGAATATATATATACTTGAAATCACAACATTTCTGTCTAAACAGCCATGAAAAACATGATGCTATAAACTGAAGAGCCAGAATGCTCTGACTCCATTTTGGCTAGCTTCTTTAGACAAGCCCAGACAAGCTCAGGCTCATTGTACATGTAAAAGCCTTATAAGGTATGAACAAAAACTTCTGACTTTAAAAGATATTAGAACAATCCAATGCCCTGAAGACAGCCCCTACCAATCAAGACTTTCCCCGTACACAGGATATGGGGACATCCAATTATTTTAAAAAATGCTTGGCGCACATGGGTTTCTATGAAGTTCCCCAATAAAAGCTCCTGCCTGCTATTGTTCGGGGCCAGACTCCATATTTGGCTCGTGAAGTCTGTGCCCAGCTAGCCGCCATTTGGTTATTGTCTTTTTTTTTACTTGAAATTCTTAAACTTTTGTATAATCTTTTTGGGTATCTATGGGAATTATTCTCGATTCTCGAACCCTAACAAAAATCACACCTAAATATCTCTGCCTTTCTTTTCATCTTTCCATCTTCTACATTATACTCTCAGGAAAATCCTCTTTTTAAATCTCCCAACTTGTATTTGATCTGCACTTGAGTCTCTTTGGCTGTTCAGATCATCTACGGTATATAGTGACTATATTGCTATCATTCATTTGTTCTTCAAAATTCACTCATCTTTTTTCTGAATTTTATTAGTATATATTAACTCTATATAATCATGACTTTAATCATATTTTCATACATGTATAACATGTATTGTAATCATACCCTCACTTGTTGCCCTCCCCCTCCAGCTGATCCCCTTCCTCTTCCTAACTAGCTTCCCCTCCCTATTTTCATGTCTTTTCTTTCTTTTCTTTCTTTCTTTCTTTCTTTCTTTCTTTCTTCCTTCCTTCTTTCTTCCTTTTTCTGTGTGTGTGTAACCTAGTATGTTTTATTAGGGTTACTTACTGGAGCATGGGAGAAGTGTATTTACAGGAACATGAACATCTTACCAGTGACTACACCTCTGGAAAAACAACTCTCCCTCCCCAATAACCATTAACTGCCAATAGATCCTCAAGGAGGGGTGAGGCCTCATGAGCCTTCTTCCTCCGTGACAGGATGTTGACAGACCCAGGCTTGTGCAGGTTTTGCACAGTTAATCACAGTTGCTGTGAGTTCAAAAGTGCCATAGCCATATCATGGCCCAAAGAGTGTGTTCCCCAAGTCCCCTCTGGTTCTCACATCCTTTCTGCCCTCTCCCTGCCATGCTCCCTGAGCCTTAGAAGGAGTAATGGAGATGTCCCAGTTAAGGCTGAGCTGTCAGCAGCACTTCAACCAGTTAAAAGTCTCGTTGTCATTGCAAAAAGAGAATTCTCTGACACAGGCTGACAAAAGCACACATTTTCGAGGCTATAGGGTTTTTTGTGTTATTGTTGTTTTGATTTGGTTTGGTTTTGTTTTTTTGAGACAGGGTCTCACTATATAGCCCTGGTTGGCCTGGAACTCACTATGTAGACCAGGCTGGCCTCAAATTCACAGATATCTGCCTGCCTCTGCCTCCCAAGTGCTGGAATTAAAGGTGTGCACCACAACACTAGGCCTAAACATAGTAATTTTTATGTGTATATGTATGAGTCTGTGTTAGTGTATGTCACATGTGTGAGAGTGCCCACAGAGGCCAAAACATGGTGTCAGATTCCCTTGAGCTGGAGTTACAGGTAACTATGAGTTGCCCAACGTAGGTGCTGGGACCTGAACTCAGGTCCTCTAGATGAACAGCAAGGACTTTTAATGGATAAGCCATCTTTCCAAGCCCCCAAACATAATTATTTAGAAGGCAATCTGATGAACACATTAGGTTCATTTAGCAAAACAACAGCTGTAGTTTCCCCACTCCGGCCTATGATCTCTCCAGCCATAGGCTTTTGACCAATTTGTTACCAGATATAAATTCCCTCCTGTGGAACAGGCCTCAATTCCAATCAGAAAGCAGCCCACTCTCTATATAACAGACTTGCCACCTTTGCAACTGTGGGTTCATCTTGCCTGGCCATTTGGAAGTATAGCATACAGGGTCCACAGCTCCATAACACTGCTGATGTCAGTTGTCCACCAGCAGCCTGCAAAGCACCATGAAAGCTAGTCAGCAGGGAGGAAGCTTCTATCTCAGTTTCTGTTTGAGTTCCCTATGTCCTGTGATAGCATGTGCTAGCTTCAGCAACAGAATCTTGCCATATAGCTATGGTGTGTAACCAAACACAGTGGCAATTGCCTGCATTGTTTAGAGGGTTCCAGGGGCCTCTCTGTTTTTTGAGTTTTTTTAATTTTTTGAGAAAAAATGTCATGTAATTCAAACTGGCTATGAAGCCTCTGTTTAGTGGAAGATAACCTTGAACTTCCACCCCATCCACCACCACCTCCCTAGGGCTAGGGTTCAAACCCAGGACTTTACGCATGCTAAGTGAACATGCTACCAACTGAGACACTTCCCCAGTCCCCACTCATACCTTTTGATCTATTCATTCCATTTTCACTGATGTTGGCTCTGTCAATCGAATTTGGTGCCTGCTTCTCATGATTTTGATTTTCCTTTAATGATTGGTGATATTTGAATGTCAATTCATATGTACCTTTGAAATCTCATGTTTACCTTTCTGAGAATTCTGTTCTAAGCAAATACATTTTTTATTCCAAAGTTGGGATCAAATCCAGGGCCTTGCACATGCTAGGCAGGTGCTTTATCACTAAGCCTAAGAATTCTGTATTTGTTCTCCAGTGGTGAGTCTTGGGAAAGAGGAGACTATGCTGCCTGCTGGGATGTCACAGTAGCTTGTCCACTGGAAATGTCAGTTCCTCTTCTCAGGGCAAACATTTGGAGTAAGCTCTTCTTCACCAGAGTCCTTACCCACAGGACCCCACTTGAAGAGAATAGATCTGCTCTTGTCCATTTGCCAACACAGGGCTGACCTAGCATAGATACTTCCTTGGTCACATTAATGGTTGCTGGAGAGACACTTCCTATGCCTTCAGCAGTCGCACTGCTTCAGCACAATCTTGAAATCATGCTCACTTTATTTTTCTGCTTATATATTTTCTTTTTTTCATTTTTAAAAAGTTTTTACTTTATTATTTTTATTTTATGTGTATGAGTGTATTGCTTGCATATACGTAAGCGCACCTATGTCATGCAATGCCCTCAGAGGTCAGAAGAGGGCATCAGATCCCCTGTAACTGGAGTTAGGACAGTTGTTAGCTGCCATGTGGGTGCTGGGAATCAAACCTGGGTTCTTTGCAAGAACAGCCAGTGTTTTTAACCACTGAACCATCTCTCCAGCCCCTGCTTATATATTTTCTTTTACACAAATAATCATGTGTTTCTGTTGAGTCTTGCAGAATTTCTGCTTGATAACAGCTTTTTGTTTTTGATGGGTTTTGGGGGGGGTGTTGTTGTTTGTTTGTTGTTTATGGAGACAGGGCCTCACCACGTAGCCTCTGAGTGACCTAGAACTCACTGTGCGAACAAGGCTGGCCTGAAACTCAGAGAGATTTGCTTGTTTCTGCCTCCCAAGTGTTGGGATTAAAGGCACACACCACCACACCTGACTGTTGTGTTTTTGCTTTTGCTTTGTTTTATTTATTTTTTTAATATGAAACACCACAAATTTTCATGCCATCCTTGAGCAGGAGCCATGCTAATCTTCTCTATATCATTCCAGTTTTAGTATGTGTGCTGCTGAAATGAACATCAACAACAGCTTTTTATTCTAGTTTTTAATACAGTTTTACTATTGTTTTTGAATTTTTTTTATCTATCAGGTCAAGAGTGGAATTTCTATCAGAGTAGAGATTTAAGGGCTATAGCCTGTTTCTAAGGAAGATATTTTTAAATTTAAAACTATACATAAAATAGTTGAGGGGGGGTCTAGAGAGAGAACTCGGCAGTTAAAAGATCTTGCTACTCTTCCAAAGGCCCTAAGTTTGTTTTCCAGAACCCACAAAGAGCTGCTAACCATCACCTATAACTCTAGTTCCAGGGGATCTGACACCCCTCTTCTGGCCTCCAAGCACTGCGCTCACATGCACAAACTCATATTTATACACAAATATACACTTATCAAAATAAAAATAAGGGACTGGAGAGATGACTCAGTGGTTAAGAGCACTGGCTGCTCTTGCAGAGGATCTGGGTTTGGGTCCCAGCATCCACATGATGGCTAGCAACCATCTTTAACTCCAGTTCCAGAGGATCCAACACCATCTTCTGGCCTCTCTGGGCACTGCACAATGTGATGCATTTACACAGATGCAGGCAAAACACTTATACGTATAAAATAAAAATAAATAATTCTTTTAATTAAAAAAACAAAAAGCATTGGCTGCTCTTCTAGAAGATCTAGGTTCAGTTCCCAGCACCCACATGGCGGCTTACAACAGGCCATAACTCCAGTTCCAAGGGATCTGGTGCCCTCTTCTGGCCTCTAGGCATTGTATGCATGGGTATACTTTGATACATGCAGGCAAAACACTCAGACACAGAAAATAAAAATAAATAAATAAAAATAAATCTTAAACAAATAAAAGTATGCACAGGGTGGTGTTTAGCACACATAGATAACTTTTAAATGTATAGTGTATGCTTACTTTCACTTATTCTCATAATAGCACCTGATAGCAAGGAATACCAACTGCGAAAACATATCTTTCTATCAATTCTTTGTAACTTTTTTTTAAAGTCCTTTCCTTAGAACAACCCTTTAAATTTGATAAGTACATGGAAGTTGAGGTGTGGCTCAGAGGTACAGCATTTTGCCTGGAACACTTATGGCCCTGACTTTGAGTCCTAGCACTGTAGAAAACAAATAACAAGTAAATAAGAAAATGAATAAATGAATGCATTTAACTTTCCACAGAGACCAAGAAGTTCATGAGCAAGTGGACTTCTTGGGAGGTATCCTTCAGTTTTCAGAATAAAACCCAGACCCCTTAGTTCTACAGAAAACAGTTGTCCCTAACTGCCTCTTTTTCCGCTGTTCCCTTCTGCTCCCCTGATCCACAGCTGCTCGGTGAAGAATAAGCGTTCTCCAAGGGAGATTTGTCTGGGTCTCTCACCCTCCATGCGTATTTCCTTTTATATGGAACACTTTGGCCCAGGATGTTTATCTCACCAAGATACTAACACAATTTGAAGATAATTCTTTGCTTAAAGATTGACTTTATTGCTATTAGCTACTGTTTCATTTCAGTGTATACAATATTATCTTCTTTTCAAGGGTGCTACAGCTATGTTTTCTGTGTCAGTCAGCCCTTCTCCCTATCCAAAAGCCATGTATCTCCTCTTTGAGCCTTGGCTGTGTGTTAAGCGAGAGCAAAGATTTCTTTCATAAAATGCTCTAGCTCCCCTTCCAGGAGATAACATGGTGACCTCATTAATGATGTGTGAACATCAGTCAGCACACTCTGGGTCTTAGTTTAGATTCTGATAAACAGGACCTTGACTAGTAAGTTTAATGTCTCTGGACCCTCATTTCTACATCTACCAAATGAGAACATCAGCAAGACATACCTGCTCCCACATCTCAAACCACATAGCAGATCAAATAAATTTGGTTTCTCTTTGATTTCCAGATAAATTTAACCAATTACTCAGTATCTATATTGTCATTTTATTTTGTTATTTATTTTTTGGCCTTTTTGAGACAGAGTCCCCTGTATAGCCTCAGCTGACCTAGAACTCGCTATGGAGACCAGACTGGCCTCAAACTCACAGAGATCCATCTGCCTCTACCTCCCAAGTGCTGGGATGAAAGGCTTTCACCACCACACCCAGCAATATTGTCATTTTAAATACTCAAAGAAGCTGGTATGGGAGTTGCACACCTTTAATCCCAGTATGGGGAAGGCTGGTATTGCAGTTCCTAGCCAGCCAGGGCTACACAGTCAGACCCTATCTCAAAAAAAATCAAGAACAACAAAATAAATAAATACTCAAATAACACTGATAAATAAAGATCCCCTGAGAATCTTGGAATTTGTCCTTCTCATTGTTGAGCAGTGTTTCATGATCTTGCCAAAGCTTGTCCTTTGACATTACTGTGACTTCTGATCTGTGTCTTATGAACAATGATAGAGCAAACATCCTTCTAAGCTGGATATTTCTAAAGCATTTCTGCTTTACATACAACAGAAATTTGGTGCTCTGGGCTTTGTCCCCACCACTAATTAGCTAAGAATGAAAAGAAAAGTTCCCAGTGGATGATGACAATCGAAAGTCCCCTTGAAATGGAGAAGAGAAAAAGGTGATGTGTTTCCCTCAATGCCACAGGAAGTCAGAAAATTCCAGCCGGGTCACAGTGAGCATCACGGGGGGGGGGCGGGGGGCACAGTTCTCTGGACACCAGGGTGCACAAGTAGAGTACTGATGCCTTCAGGTTTCAGACAACAGTCCAGTTCTGCAGCCAGCTCAAGGAAGGGAGTAGGTCCTTAAAAGAATCCACAACTGTTTGCAGTAGGATGAGCCTCTCTGATCCCTGAATGACTGGGGCCATAAAACAGGAGACTTAGGACAAAAAATTACTTCCAACCTGGCACTCACACCTTTTGACCTAGCACTCGGGAGGCAGAGGCAGGCAGATTTCTAAGAGATGGAAGACAGCCTGGTGTACATAGCAAGTTCCAGGCCAGCAGGGGCTCCACAGAGACCCTGTCTCAAAAAGACCAAAAAAAAAAAAACCCAAAGAATTTCTTCCCCTCATCCTTAAGTCAGCACTGTGGGGCATGTGAAACAAACTCATGGGTTGAATGGCCACAACAGGAAGGAGCCAGGAAACTTGTCTCTTCAGCGACTATGGAGGTGACTTAGAGAGTTGACACCAGTGAGAGAGAAGCCCCGGCCCATTAGAAAGCAAATTCATAGAACAAAATAGCAAAAGAAAGAATAAAAAGAGTAGACCTGGCCTGGGGTTGCAGATCAGTCAGTACAGTGCTTGCCTTAACTGCACAAAATTCTGGGTGTGATCCCTAGTGCTGCATAAACCAGGCCTGGTGATACACTCCTATAATCCCAGCAATTGGGAGGTGGAGACAGGAAGATCAAGAATTCAAGGTCATCCTTGGAGCCAACATGAGATGTAGGAGACCCCATGTCAAAAAAAAGAATACTCCTGGTAAAACTAGTGAAAGTATCATGTGGCCAGAGAAGGTTGTTAAACTAACTTCAGAAATAAGAGGAACTACGTAAACCATGCACTGCTAAATGCCAGGCATGCTTCTAAGGAGCATACTTCCGGTGGTCTTCAAATGTACTCTGAAAGTGTTCTACGCAGATAAATTGTGTGTGTGTGTGTGTGTGTGTGTGTGTGTGTGTGTGTGTGTGTGTGTTTAGCAAAAGGAGGAATAAAAGGAGTAGACCTGGCCTGAGGATGTAGATCAGTCAGAAAACAGCAGCCGGGCCACAGTGAGCATCGTGGATGTGGGGCATGGTTCTCTGGACACCAGGATGCATAAGTAGGGTGCACATGTAGAATGCGATACCTTCAGATTTCAGCCAAGGGTCCAGTTCTACAGCCAGCTCAAGGAAGGGAGTAGATCCATATATATATGGTCATGAATTCCAGAAGGGGTGGTTGGTGGGACATGGGAGGAGTTGGAGAGGGGAGAGGAAGTCAGGAAGAGTGGAATCCTTAAAAAAAATTCTATTACCGATCCCAGTTGGATATATGAAGCTAGAAGGCCCCTCTTCCCTGCTGCACTCCTTTTTTTTTTCCTTTCTTCCTCTCTTCCTTCTTCCTACAAATACTTTTTGACAGTCTGTGATATACCAGGCATACTCTTGGCACTATGGAGTCACAGGTTAACCAGGATATTTAAAGTGCCTGCTTTTCTAGTAGTGTAACAGATACTTAGACACTATAATTACTGGAAACAGTTGACTCCTCACATGGGCCCATAAGGTAACTGAAGCATGGTAAAAGTTTGGCATCTCTGCCTTTATTTTGCATCTATCTCTTTTAGGCAATGTACTGACAGCTTCTATAATGCCCTGTTCTAGAACCTCAAAAGTCACCTGATGGTTTGCAATCATTTTTCTAAACTCCACAGTCATACTGGATTCCAGAAACAAAAGACCCATAAACATCTTTTTGATAAGGAACCAAATCTACCTCCATGAAACTTGAGCTTCCCAATGAGGGCAGCTCTCTGTGGTGGAAAAGCTATACCCTGGAGCAGGAGGATTTATCCTAAGGGAACCATATTGCTCCTCACAAGTGATGACATGATACAACTGCTTCAAACAACCTTGTAGAACCAAAACTGAGATAATAACATGATCAGCCAGACCATGCTTTGACAGAATGCTTAATTCTACATGCCTTTTGTTCCCCTTCCCCAATTCTTCCTCTATTTAAACACTGAAATCTTGTCAATATGAACTTGGGGGTCACTGGGCCTTTATCTGTCCCTCTAATCAATATGTCATATTGTATAAATCTTGCTCGGCCTTTTACCACTAATCTTTAATTTACTTGGCTACATCTGAATGGAGTTGTCTGAGTTCATAAAATGGTACACCTTATAGAGGGTTTTCTACAGTATATAAATTATACTTTCATAAATTTGACATTAAAAATAATAGTTCAGAGCCAGAAATGGTGGTGCACATCTTTAATCCCAGCACTCAGGAAGCAAAGGCGGGTGGATCTCTATGAGATCAAGGCCAGACTGATCTACATAGTGAGTTCCAGGCC